TATATATATATATATATATATATATATATATATATATATATATATATATATATATATATATATATATATATATATATATATATATTAGAATTTACAATTTTGTAGATGTTTGGGATACAATTTATGAAATTTAGATATATTCTAGATAAAATGTAGATATATTGTAGTTTATATGTATTACCTGATCAATTCCTTTTTCTACTTTACTGATCTTCTCATCAATAGACTTCTTGTCCTCTTCTCCATCTGTTTGTTTGGATTCCAATGTAGGAGGATCAGCATTGGGAACCTCAGATGTTTGTTCACCTTCTGGAACTTTGTACTCAATATTATCAGGCAAAATCAGCACTCCAATCTCTTTTTCAGATTCAACTATGTTGGTAAACTGAATGAGGAAAAATAAATTAGTTTGATAAGGGAAGAAAATGCAGAATAGTTGTAGATATGTTGAAGGTAAATGTATAATCGTAATAAAATAAAGTATACCTTTATCCACTCAGACTTTATCATCTTCTCTTCAAAGGCAGCTAACCAAATCAGCCCCTTAGTAGCTGACCATCTTAGTATGCGAGGGATTGAGTTAGAATACCTCATAGCTAGATCAGTGCTGACACTAGAGCAACACTCATAAAGCCATACTTGCAATGCTAGTGAGCATCCCCGTATGAGATAAGAATGTACATACAGTTTTAGTCGGTGCCTAACAGATTCCATCAGCTGGGTGAAAGATTTAATACCCCATGGGTATGACTCATACTGCCCAGATTCTACCAAATAGAACCTAAAGTGATCTACAAAAGAAACATGATCTTTGTCCGAAGGACAAATGAAAAATTCTAAAATATAAAGGATGCACAACTTCACCGCATCCTCATCGTTTACCCAGGATCTAGTGGTTACTATCTGTTTCAAATAAGACTTCTCCACTCTTAATTTGTTAGGAAAATAACTGCTCATTGTTTTGCTAACATAAGTGGGAGTATAACCAAAATCAGTAACCTGTGTTACACATCTTAGACCAGTAATTAATGCAAACTCACGCAATCCAAAATTTAATGTTTCACCCTTTAATTGTATAGAAAAATGTGATTGATTGGATTTGGTCAATTCATACTTCATCAGAAGATGAATGGATTGATTTTGCATGCATATGGTGGGAAGAGACAGTAAGTATCCAAAACACGTCTTTTTGAAAATATTCAAACCATTTGAGGATAGAAGCTCTTTAATCTGGCTAGGAATGCTAGGATCACACAAAGTGTGGAATCTAAGCATCCCATAATCAACATAATGTGGAGCAAAAAAATGTCCACTCTGCACAAATAATAAACTAATTCAAATTAATAAAATGCATAAAAAAGGATAATTCATCTACATTTTATCGACAATATAACTACAAATAATTATATAATATCAACAATTTAAAGCCTTTTCTACAAAAAGGAAGCAACACCAGATAACTACAATTCTGCTTCAAATAGTAGTAGTTACCTAACATTATAACTACAAAAAAACTACAAAAATATCTAAAGTTATAAAGGCAGAACATCACAACTACAAATAATCTTCAAAATTAAGACAATTAATCTACAATTGTCAAAAACACGCATAACACAGATTAAAACATCCCAAACCAAACAAAAAAATTAGAAAATAAACTAATAAATGTTTACCTTCGCCAAAGATTGGTTCCGAACAATTTTAGGGTGTTTTTTTTTAATATTTCTTCATTTTTAGGTTTTTCGAACTAGGAGACACCTTTGATTTCTTTCCTGTTCGAAGATTAGGGACCTCTCCTACAAAGTCGTCATCTAGAGCAATCTCTTTTCCTTTTCTTTTGACTTGTTTG